GATTTTATGCGCATATTTTTATGTGTTTGGAATATTTCACATCCAAGTATTATTCTGATATCGTTTTATTACAATCAGACAGAAATCTGAACATACAACCATTCGAATTACTAATTTTGTTTGCATTCTTTCATCTACGAACATGCGATGTGAAGTAATCATCGTTCGATTTTTTTCTACTGTTAAGTAAATCCGAGCGTTCGTGTTTTTTCTTCAATGGTATTAAATTGCTCGGCATGTAAGAAAAACACGAACTAGATTTTCCCTTAGAATGTGTACATTGACGTGAAATTGCGCGGCGAATAGTCGTTCCTCTACACTAATTGCACGTCCGTCACGTTGCAACCCACCAAGAAAGCAACCAAGAAAATAACCGAATTCTCCAATCGCTAGCCCTCTAGCGTCTAGTTTGAAGATATACAGACCGCACATGAAAAACGAATTACCACCACATCACGAAATCGTTCGCAGAAAACGAAATATCGAATTTTTCGCGTGCACTAATTCAATTTGTAGGTGTTTGCTGATGCTGAGTCAAACCAATATTTAATGAAAAATGATATCGATAAACATTACAGCTTTTTATTTTTTTTATTCATAATTACATCCATTAGTAACAGAATCCCAGCATAAGAAATGTACGTTTAGTGTACCTGGTTGTAAATTACAAAACATGCATATTGCACCACCGAGGTTGCTGCCAACATTGTGAGGCATTAAATATGAGCACGCTGCGCGAACTTCATCTCGGCAGACGTAACACACGCCCCGAACACACGTAACACATCAGCGTACATGCAGTTACAGCGCATTAATTAAGCTTTAGGGAGACATAAGCGCGAGCTCGAGACGCCATTCTGCAGCCGAACAAGCGAATAATTCTGCAAGACGTATACCTCTGACATTATCTACTCAACTTGCATATACCACAACCACATGGCATCATTTTTGCTCTACATATTTAAACATGTAGGAATCAGGATAAGTCGTATAGTAGTGAATTTTAATGGTGTAGATGTTGAAAGCTAGAAGCTGAAATGCTAGAAGCTTTCCTAGGTTTTTTTCTTATAAGCGTGGAAGTAAATACGCCGCGAGTTTGTTTTTCACGAAAACATTAGCCGGTAGCCCCCAACATTGTCTAAACTGTTCAACCATTGCCAATTTATTTTCTGAGACCAGCGAACAAGTTCGGTTAATGGAAGCTCCGTGCGCCGCAAGTGCATGAGCTTACTTACTCTTAGTTTATTGAGTACTCAAGCGAAGTTATTGCTGCCGAGTGTGCTCTTCTGTTCTGTGTTCCATCCGGACTCTCTGTCGGAATGACGAAAATTGTTATTCTTGCAATTTTCTTCTTTTTAGATGCGCCAAGCGGGACTCAAATTAATTATTTATTCATGGTTTATAAAATGTAAACAGGTCAATAATTCTGTCTGTTGAATTGTTTGCCTCGTGTAGAATTTGCTGTTTACTCTTGAAGTACCAGCAGCACAAATAAGAGTATTTTAGATAGGTACATCCTGCAATGTCCAAGTGCGCCTGAGGCAAATTTTGGAAATTTCGTAATTGCGTAATTCGCTGCCGAAATAACTCCCCTTGAATACTTTGCGTTTACTCCTTGGCGCGTTCATTCAATTTCATCCGCACAAAACATGAACGCTCGCCTAATTTTAACACGCGCCCAGCCCGCTTCCAGGTTTAATATTTCACGCAAAACATCACCTGCTAAGCGCACAAGCACAAAATAAACTTTTACTTGTAACAGCGGCGCTTCTCAACGTCCACTTGTCACTCCTGAATTGGTATTGCGAGTTGTGCGACGCAGTGCACAAATTTCATTAGGCGATTTAAAGTTGCAAAACGCTTGTAAAATGTCAATTACGTTATATATTACCGCAACTGTGGGAGATTTTCAGGAGCACAGGAAGAGTTTGTGCGCGGACGAAGTGAAACTCGAGTAAATAAAAGCCGGTGCGGTCGCACGGAAATTCCGACTGGAAGACAATAAAGCTGGCCATTACGACGTCGTCCTGCAGGACGTTACCAAGGACGTTTGCTCAATGACCCGCCGCCGCGCAGGAAAACCCGGCGCATCCACCCACAACAGCCAACGTGCGGAAAAGAACGACGTCGAGTGAGATGAACGAAAGGGTTTAATAATGACCGGCCATTAACGTGGATTAAAACAAATAACAAGCTAGCGTAGATTACCCCCACTTGAGGCGCAAAACGTTCGACGCGACGACACTACCCACCCGACAAAATATACGTTAATAACGCTCCGTAAATGGAAAATAATATGCGTGTATCGTTATAGTTCGCAAAGGTTGCAAGGGTGGTAAAGATGCCAAGACCAACTAGGGGTCCCCCGGCGCGGCAAACAGTAAACACCAGCACGCAACACACATTAATTTTTCCATCAACAGCTACTAAAATACCTCGACGCGAAAATGCCATCATTCTAACTCACAGCATTTATGTCATAAATTGTTAATTAACTACTTGATAAATTATACACAACATCATAATACAACTGATTATAAACTTAAAAACTGTGAATAACTGAGAGTAAAACTTAAATAAACGTTGAATTTTCAAATTTGCGCCAAAGTTTTGTCCAGAGATAGATAGTGCCGTCATATTATATTGCATTATAGTATGCGGAGCTCGCGTAATACAATTTCCTTTGGACCAACTTAATCCACCCACGCCAACCTCCGGCATTCAAACTTGGAGCGAAATTCAGCGAGCATTTGCAGTGCAGTACTTTTGATGAACAGGCCCGAGCTTTGCGACTAGCGGAGCTTTCGAAACGAAAATTAAGCAGAATTTAAGTAAATTTGCATGCATCATGAGCCGGTATTATGATCGCGTCTAGGGGCGTTCGACGAAGCGACTATAATGTTACGCGGAATGACGCAACATGACGCCGGACGCGCATGTCGAATATCTCGAACGCTCTAGTTGTCTAGCTGTATGCATTCTGTTCGACGCGACTCAAACTCGAACTATGAAAGGAGTTTAATGCACGCGAAACCTCTCCGCGTGCGATGAGGCAGCCCATAAAGACTGCACAATCCGCAGGGTTCTCGATTCGGCAAGCCAGTGAAGCGGCGGGTAAATTTGAGTTCGGGATTTGCTCGAACCAAGCACATGCAAACTTCGGAAAGACATTTCACGAAGTATTAGCCTTAAATAGAGTTATTTTGTTCTTCCAATTCGAAAATTGACGGAAATGAAACGCAACGAAACTTGAATCAAATACGGGAAAAAATTCTGAATACTGATGAACAAGATGAAAGCAAATTCTACGTCTAATTATACTTCATGTCCTTAATTTCGTGACTAAATGACATTAATTGAAAGCGTAATTTAATTACCACCCCTTTAGACTTTGCAAATTTAGTCTTTTATACTCAACTTAAAATTTAGCTGCGATTTGGCCGATTTGTCCCAGTGAAATGTGAATATATTGATATTCACTTGCAGAAAGTACAAATTTAGTTGAACGATGATTGCGATTGAGAGGCAGAATAATGGTGCAAGGAATTTATGAAAATGGCGGGCGTCGAGGGCGGAACGTATTTCTATTGAGGGTTCGGCTCATATACATTGATAAATCACCCAAACCGCAGGCGGCGGCAGCCGCTGAGGCCAGGGACACACCATTGATGGTGAATGCGGTTCGCAAACCGAAATTGGACAAGTGGCGAATCGAATAATCCTGTCGTATATATTCACGACTTTTTCATATTTTGCATGAGAATATTTGATATTCTGGAATATAGCCTGGAGTACTCCGTATAAAACGCAAAAATATTTCCAATAATTGACTGAAAACTACGGAAATACATTTTTATCGCTATTTTTTTACAATCAAACAAAACAAACACACATTTCGATGTTTATCTTGATGTGTGTTACCTATGAATTTTAGCAATTCAGTTGGCAGGTCGAATCGTACATGAATTAGGACAAACCCCAAATGGAAATTTCAAACTGTGGGCGGCCGTAAAACTCCGACCATACCCAACCAACAAAAACAAGAAAGCCGCGCCTCTGTTGCGAAATAATAGAGGCCTATAAATCTTGCTTTGCCGAACCGCTTTGGTCTGATCCGGAAAATGCGAAATTCTTTCATAAATGCAAACCTAGCTCCAAAACACTATAGCGGTCTGGTGTTATTTGATAGAAAATAAAACCGCAAAAAAAATCACATATTTTCTCGGCCGAGTCGTATTAAATTTGTTTCATTCCGGGCTGTCGGCAAATCCTACGTTTTTTCGGCGAACTTTGTTTCTGTTTACGCCAGTGGAAAAGGCAATATTTAGATACCCATGTCGCTGGTGTGCTGAAATGGGAATTTTGAATATTTGCTTATATACCGAGAGAGGTGAGCACATTCAGACGGTTTTGCGGTGAGCTGGGTTAGCGGATATAAAATGTAGCACTGTTTATACAGACAGTTCATTTGATTCGAGCTTTAGAAAACCGCAGCATATAAACACTCACGATATTCAATATAGCGCGACCTAGAAAGTTTGTGGTAATAGTGGCGCCTCCACCAAAATTTCCGCGATAAAACCCGATTAACCCGATTCGATGAAATGAATTCATAATATGATTACGTAACCATCCATAATCGAAAAATAATGTTCCCGCACTAAAACAACAAACTCATTATAATACACTGAATAGGACCGTGGACTCTGCGGTCAGTTTTGGGTAGCCGATCGTTTCAGGGACGGGATGATAGCGACTGATTGATATTTTAATGAAAGGCCGCTGCAAAGGTTAAAATTTGACAAGGGTGATTTATGTAGCGCACTAAAATGCTCACCATCAACCCAAATCAAATTATAAATGATCATTAACTGAGTTTTCAATCACATTATCGCATTAACTGCCATAATGTGAGATAACATCATTAGGGGGCACGTTTTAGTACATATACAGCGCGTGGCAGCAAAGATACTCAAAAATACTTGATGTTTTTGTTACAGAGTGTCAATGGAGTTGGAGCCTGGCGTTGATAACAGCGCTGGTGCTGGGGTGCGCCGCGCAGAAATCGAAATCCTGCAAGCTGTCAGAATTCAAGTGCGATAATGGCAAGTGCGTGCCGCTGACGCGCTTCTGCAACAACGCCAACGATTGCGGAGACTCAACGGACGAACCGCGATATTGCACACGTAAGTTAAACCTTTGTTCCTTTCAGCGTTTCTCCTATCAGCTACCACTAATCGCCAATTAGATATATCATCTTCAACAATCGACATCAAATCGATACTTAATTTGCTAGTCTTTGAAGTTTGTGGCAAAATAGAAAAGAAAAATAGCGCCAGGACATTACATTTGTAAAGCAAAATTGGAAAACATGTTCGTTTCGAACACAGGCTGTCGCCATTATTTATTTCCACGCGCATCGGCTGAATTTTTCGTTTACATTGCATAGCCACACTATACGAGTGTATCTGTGTGTGGACTGTTGGGAATTGTGGAAAACTGGTTCGGATATAGGTTAGAGGACGAATTGCAGGAAGAGGACGAAAACGTTTAACCGCGCGCCAATTTTTCAACAGCTCAACTGGAGCGCCGCACGAGAAAGATTTAAGGGAAAGGCAAACTTTAAAAAAGTGTCGGATATTGGCTCCCCCACTCGCACAACGACGGACTGCATAAAAGTTTCCGGGCGTCCTTCGCACTCGCCAGTTTTCAAACTTTCTAATGTGGGAGAATGCCCCGCAAAACCAACGCTACCTTTCTCGTTTTTCACGACTCTTTGTTTTCGCATCGTTCGTTTTTTCGTTTTTTTTTTCTGTGGCGTTGGTTTCCTGCTTCGAGTTGCGGTTTGGAGTTTCCACCTTCGACAAATGGCCCAAATAGAAGAGCAGAGTGTTACCAGTTCTCCAGCTCTCCAGATAAAAGAAAAGCACTAAGAAGACACGATTATGCGTGCGAGCGTAAAGTTTGAGCAGCTTATTTAAGTATGCATGGAAACAGTTGAGGCGTCGAAAAGTTAAGCAGCGAGAATTATCGATTAACGAATCGCACGTCGCCCGGAAGGTCGAAACACGCCGGGGAACAAAATCTCATCTTTCAAGTAGATGTACAAACTAATTATATTCGCGCAAGTTGTTTAGCACCAAGCAAGTGGGGGCGAACGATTTGACTTTATGCTGTTTCGCGTGCGCTCGCCTTATTAGTACACGTTCATTCTTCACTGCCGGCTTGATAGGCAGGGCGGCAAGGCGGAACGAGAAGAAGACTCACAAGAGAAGAACTCCAAATCGGAATGAGTAATTCGCGTCAGTGTTCGTTATCGTGGGGCGAAAGTTGCGCGCCTGAAAGGCGATGGGCGCGGAAATTTTATTACGTTGTTGCTCTCTACTCTGCGCTGTGTGTTAAAGCACCGACACTCTGAAACGGCGCCAACGACGCAATCGAATGAATGGCGCGTAATGCGATGCGCGAATATGGGTGTGCTTCAGAGTGGCGCAATGTTACACGAGCGCCGAACAAAACGCGAAATTTATTGTCAATTCCTCTCGACAAACGAACGGACAGACATGCCAAAAAAAAAACGCGTTCGGTGCGGGGCTTTTTTATTTATTTTTAACGACCCTGCGTTAAAAACAGCAGGCAGTGTTTGATGCTAGACATTTCAAATGCAGTGTCACCCACAATGCAGCAAATGACCAAATACAGAACTACGAGAGGATTTGTGTGAAAAGAAATTTTTTTTGCTTCGTAAAATTCAAAATACGGAATTAATTTCTAATCTAAAAGCATTAATGAATTATTCAATTAAAGCTAGTCATAACGCATTGATAGACGAGATATACACCAATTATCAATTATTATCCGTAATCCAATAACAATGTTGAAATGAAATATGCAAGCGTATGTACGTGGCGGGCGTGAGTAATAATGCACGCTGTTAATTTACTGCGTGAACGTGTTCCACACAGTCCCGACACTAAACGAACATAATTTTTAATGCTTTTCATTAATCTGGATATATGCATTCGCCAAAATTTGCCGTAGGCAACCCACAAACAGATATAGAGCTATTTGTCGTTGCTTATTTTTGGGTATAGTTGGTTACCTACTTCAATAAATAACACGTTGTATGTTATTATGTCCGAACAGCATATAGTTAATTGTACACAACGTTTGCTACTAATTAACAGCTATAAATTGACGTGTTGATCGGTATAATAAGTTATTCATCAGTTATTTAGCGCGGCGCGGCCCATTTGAACATCAACTGTATTAAATTTTAGAGGCGCGGGCGCTGAATTTCTATGTGGCAATGAATATCTGTCTATTCACGGTGATAATGCGTTGTGAAGGCTTTGATGCGTGCGACATCCGTGATCGAAGCTCTCGCGTACAATCGAATTATGTGTGCCTGCGCGAAGATGAATGCTGATCAAATATAAAATTGTACAGTTAGATAAATTGAGTTATAAATATCAAAACTCAATTTAAGAACACTATATATTTTAGAAGATAAATTTAAGTCTCTCAGGTTTTTTACAAAAAATACTTCTTTGAATGTATTCATTGAGGCAAATCAAAGTTGCTCTGAACTGAAAACTAACATGTGCAGATTTTACCACCACATGACTTGTAAAATATTTCGCCTAAAAAAATATTCAACATAAATTAGACCCATCTGCAAACATGTGTACTCTGAACGTGCCACATAAACAGAAAAGAGATGCGTAGGCGCCTCCACCAAAACACGGTACGAGAACGATGTAGGAATCAGTATACGCTCGTGCAACGGCCGGACGTTGAAACATTCAGTTTGCGGAATAATATGCAAATGCTCTTTGCTGTTCAAGCAAGGGGAAAATAATTCCGCGTCCCAAAAAAATAAAAATATTATAAATTTGCAGCCGCCCAGGCACATGCATAATGAAATAAATGCGCAAAAGTGTTGGAACCACCCTAAAAACAACATTAAAGTGTGACAAATTAGCAATTACACAATGTTCATGATCTCGAGAATATTTATATGTAAAACACGTGCATACTACCTACAAAGTGTAAAAAAAGTCGTTTAGACTCAAAGCATACGAGGGGTCTTTCAAAGCTCATAAGCGTATATTCTTATTGAAGTACTCAGGTGCAAGTGCGTACAAGGTACGACGGCAAATGAAAAACAGCACTAGTTAAACCATTCAACCCAGCCACAAGCGAAAGACTCTTTAAAACGTGCAATTAAACACTTTTAATTGGATTTTAATTTTTGATTTCTACAAGCAAGTGAAGTTAAAAGTTATGCAAATGCGACTGTCGCTAGAGCAGTAATATCGAGGACTTATGTCATTAACCAAAAAGGGTTAAATTTGATAATTTCCCCACGGAGCAATTAGCAAAGTTATTTTCATGAATAATATTTATAGCATGACAAATCGACCTCTTGATAGTTATATAAACTAAAGAATACAATACCCCATCAAATTAAAATAATCAGGAATGAATTTTACTTGTTTCAGCTTGCAATAGAACGTTCTACGGAGAAGTGGGTATAACTTACGACATGGAACTGCACCGACCAAAGGAGGACAAGATTCCCTTCATCTGCCTGCTGACGTTCAAAGCAGCCGGCGGCGATTACGGCGACTTGGTGCAGGTTGGAACATTTTTATATTATCCTTCCAAAATCCCCAACGATTTATCCTATATATCCCGAGATATTGTCCTTGTTACGAAGAGTATAATATCGGAAATGCCAATAAAATGTTGCCTTTTCGATACTTTTTGTTTCATTACGCGTTCCTCGGACGAGAAGACCACCTCTCATAAACAGTGGGTAGCAATAAAAATAAAAAACCGGAAGTTGACAAAAAAAAAGCAATTTCTGTAACATTTAGTATATGCTAGCGTGCCTTATGTGTACATGAGTAAGGTAAGCTTTCCGAAGCACGGATAATATATGAGGGTATGGGCCTGCTATAACCGTGCGAATCTGCTTAACTCGTCCCTTCTGGGGTTTCATCCCCGGTCGCCTGCCACCTATACTACTACTCCACCCAAGTCGATGCGGCTTTTCCGAACGAAACCGAAATAGTTTACGTCGGCGACGCTTATAAAGTATCAACGTCGCCCTTACGCACCACCGCAACCAGCTTGTGTATTCCTTTCGCGTCCAGAGTTCAAACAATAAAACCACAAAAGATAAAAGCCAAATAAAGTACTTTATAGTTTCCCGCGTCCATGTCAGAGAAGCGACGGCATTAAACGGACACATGGGAACTGAGCGAGATGGTGTGAGTCGAACTGTAAACACATCCGAACGGGGGTATAGAGGGTGGCTGACTCCACAGCAAGACGCGTTCCGGCAGAACTTCCGATACTTATTCGACTTAGGCGTACATCAACCGGCTGTGTACGGAACGTTGCAGGTCATAACTATAAGCGCTGTAGTTATAAGTCGTAAGTACTCGCATTATGACACGTTGCGTTGAGCGGTAATTTCAGCGCAGACGGTTAAACTTTCGGCAGATTAAACGTATATCTAAAGCGTGTGGGTGTAATTTCAGCGCTGTCATGTTATTATCCTTAAAATTACGTCTAACCGCCAGCATAACCGCTCAAATTCTAAAAATATCTTCGGCTAATTGATTAACTTGGTGCGAAAGGTTGACGTTTCCTTCCTGCGCTAATGTCAGAAATAAACATGTAAGAAAATCAATGATAAGGTGGAGAAAAATGCCATCGCGCGCGCCGGCGACAAGGTGGCAAGAAACGGAGCGTGCTGGGCCGTAAACGTAAACATGCTGCTGCACGCGCTCATGCTGCAAAACACCATCGCCGCCCCCCGAGAGGACGTAAAACCGTAAGAAGGTCCTAAACTTTATACGCTATATTTAGGGTGATTTTACTAGGTTTTACGCTTTGGTTTTTATTACGCACCAGCAAACAGCTAGCAAAATAGATTTATAACATGTCATAGTATTTCCACACAAAAAAGGGCAAAATCGTGCATATCAGGAGACGTCATGTTGTGTAACGAAATCCATTAAACTGGTGGATAACTTCATTAATCATCAAAATAAAAAATATATTTACAGCACGTTCAAAACTATAGCAATGTGATTTTGTTAACAATGGTGAGAAAACATCAGAACTGACCACAGAAGTTAAAAAAGAAGGAACCAGCAGACTTGTGACTATTCTGCTGGACGACTCAAACCCGAGTACTGTGCTCAGTGTGCGCGCGCGCGCGATATTATACTTGCGACCAACCAACAAGGAAGAGTGGGGGAAAGCAAAGAATACATGGGTGAGCCTCCGCGACAAGCAGAGATAAACATGTGCTCGCACACACTGAACCAGTACACCTTCCCCCTCCACATTTTGCGGGTCGCCCGCAGGTATATACGGCAATCGTGCAGTGCGCGCCGCGCTCAATAAGGCCTGAGTCGTCCACCTCTCTAGATTCCTCTTACTTTTTTCGTTCTCTGGGCATTTGATTGGGATCATGTATAAGCGATGCCACCCCACACACACCCGTTTGTTCGTTAATCCTTTCAATGTATTAATGTTGAAGCTTGAATCAAATCATGTTAACCAGTTAATATATTTTAAGAAAATATAGCGCCCGATTTAATTTTATGTTCTACAACAATGCAAAATATGTTTTTAACCAAAATATGTATTAAATTCCACATGATAATAACTGTTTTGTCAGTGAGTAAAATGAAGAGACATCTGTGCTTCCCCAATTTTACATAATGAAAATAATAAAACCCTGGGAAATGACATGTCGCAAATAAGTAATGCATTGTTGTGTAGCGGTGGTGTTTTGCGGTGGGACGCTGGCAGTAGAGAAGTTTCGGTTAAATTGCTTCGAATTTTGGGTGGATTACATTTCGCCGCTCGCAGCAATAAATGCGTTCAAGGCAAATGGGTGATTAATGATCTGCTCGACAATTTACTTCCGTGCTTACTATGCGCCGCACGACGATACGCCGGATAATTCTAAGCGAAACATTTAGGCGGACTAAGAAATTAATTTTTCTAGCTCCGTGAATATATTTTTTTATTGCGTTAAATGCATTGGTAATTTAAAGACCTCTTTGTTCGCGGCCGTGCGAAGTGGATTTTACTTAATTTAATTGGATGATTTATATGCAAACGAAGCCACTGGGACAATGGAGTTGGGTAGAGTAGTAGCAGGCTGTTATCAACCATCATGATAAGAATGTCGGTTGTGAAAATGAAGAATTAAAGTGGAATTTTAATTAACTAAATAAATAAATTAAGTTATTGTAATGCTGATAAATTATGTTGTGTTACAGTTGACATTCGATAGTTTCACCCTGGGTCGATTTGTTTCGTTCACATCGGATGGATGTCCGGATGGCGCGCTTCAAATATCTGAATCCGATCGGCCTCAGGTCGGCGGATCCTGGTGCGGTACCTCATGGGGCCCGTCCATTTATTACAGCGAGACGAAGAGCGTAACCATCACCGTCAACCTGCTACGATTGTCCAAAGATCAGAGCGGATACAATTTCGACTTTCGCATGGAATACAAATTGCTCAAGAAGAAAGCGGCCACAGTACGATATGGCGGAGGTAATTTATCAGCAGCAAATCCCAACACAATATTCTCACTCCAGGCTTCTGACCCTTTGTAGCAATACCGTCGATAGCAATCAATCCAAACACCACTGCGCCATCGGTGGAGCCCGAACCCGAGTACTACCTTGGCGACCTCATCACGGGTACTTACTGCTCGCGCATCTTCAACGACTGTGATAGAAAACATTGCCGACTGCAATCGCCCAATTTTCCCGGAGTGTATCCCCGCAACCTGACGTGCTACTACGCGGTGCGCCAGCACGACGTGCCTTCCGGCAAGCACGCCCTCATCACGGTGCGCCAGCCGAAAGGTCAGCTTATCTCCATCCGCAGTCAGTCGGCGCTATATGGCACGGCGAGCACGCGCGAGCTCAAGACGTGGAACGCCTGCGACGACGTGCAAGACTACGTGACCGTGTACGACGGCTACACCACGCGCGATCCTGTCATACTGAAATTCTGCGGAGGTGGCGAAGCTGTGCCCGAGGCTGTGTCCAGTGGGCATGAGCTGCTTGTGGAATTTTCCACTTCACCCTACGGCACATTTTTACATCCGACGCCGGTACAATCTCTACACGGGTTTCAGTTGGAAGTGGAGGTGACGTTTGTCGACCAGACGTCTCCGAGTTTCGTAAAGAACAAACGCAGCTGTGAGTTTTGGATACGTGGTACCAATAAAGGTATCCTCGAAAGTCCAATGCACTCCTTACCCACAAACACCACGTGTCTATACCATCTTCAAGGAATGGACACAACCATTTCACCTTCCCCAGTCCCCCTATCACCTCGATATTCAGATGGCTTCTGGAGACATCGTGCTATAGTCTTCCCACCTCCCAGATATCGTGTTTGGTTAAGCGTTGTCAAATTTCACGTTGCCGGTACCAATGACCTCCAAAAATTGGACCAGGAGATTTGTCGCAGTTTTCTGAACGTGTGGGATGGCCAGCAGTGGACCGGAACGAATTGCAACGATTTGTTTTGGTAAGTGATCGCGCTCGTATTTTATCGCGGAAATAACACGATGTTTTTTTGCACATTACAGCAGTAAAGATAAGATAAAGAACAAAGCGCCGATCGGCACCAGTAAGAATGTCACACTGCTGGCGCGATATTGCAAAGAGCATGTGCCTCGAACGTGTGATCACTCGATGTTGGCCAACGAGACGCGTTTCCCGCGGCCATGTTCATTATCCGAGAGCTTCCTTTCTACGGGTGATAGCCTCACCCTGGAGCTGAAACTTTCCGACTCATCGGCGCTGAGGTAAAGATTCCGGTTGATCGTAAAAGCGAGCGCGCATTTCAAAGCAAAACTTGGATATTTTATTTCAGACCTGTGAAATTTAAAGCGCTCTACGAGTTCGTGGATCTCCACCTCGACGGGGAACCGTTTGGCGAGGGATTGTGCAATCGGAAATTCACCAGCGCGCAGGAATCACAAAAGTTTCGCTCCCCTCGAGACATTTTCCTCTATGGACGAGGCGGTGCTAAGAATCTAAGGTACCTGTTTACCTATCGCTGCATCCGCCCTAGATTCTTCCCATATGCTATGCTATACCTATATAACACGCTCGCATAGTCGATTTCAATTATCCGCTCGCTCCTTAGTTCCCCTACACTGTAACTTTACGATTCTCTTCTGTGTGCAGCTGCGTCTACCGATTCGAGGCCGGCAAAGAGGAAAAAGTAAAGATCACGATCACAAAACTGATCATCAAGGGACGCAGCTGTGAGACCCGCTTCTCGAAGGACCTCGAACGCTATCAGTGCTTCGGCAATGCGACAGCGTCGGTGCGCGCCTTCAATGTACCATGGAACGACGCACCGGGCGCCCCGCGTGATTGCTTTTGCTCCGGCGGCGGCATGAAGGACGCCATGATGCCGTTCAGCTTCGTTTCCACAGCAAACGTGGTCGAGCTGCGCTTCGACGTGATCAACATGAACGCCAGCGATGACTTCACTACACTCTTCTTCGAAGGCACGTGGAAATTCATACGTGCGCCCACGTGCAGAAGCAATTTGCGGCTGCACGGCGCCAGTGGTGAAATAACTTTCACTCATCCGGCGGAAACGGCGAACGACGTGAGTAGCCCTCCTCCCCCACGATGTGTGCTAGAGTAAACGTCAGTGGTACTACAACTAATTGATTGAATACAATGCATTGCAGGTGAACTGTGAAGCGTATCCACGTGCGGTAATCCCATCGGCCAATAAGTATTTGTACGTGAAGCTGAGCGGCGCTTTGATGAAATACTCGAACGCGCGCGGTAACGTGACCGTAACGCAGAAGCACTGCGGCACCTCGAATCGCATCTCGGTGCACACGCCGCGTTACTCAGCAACCATATGCCCGTACCTGGCGTCATCCAGGCGGCATAATCTGGTCGAGGTGTTTTCCGAGGGGTGGAAAACGACGAGCAAATCGCCGGCGTCGACGCTTGAACCACTCGACAAGGTGACGATCGATCAGCTCGGCAAAGAGCTGTCGCGTAGCATCCTCGTCGAATTCCACGGCCGCGAGGAAGGCACGTACTCGGTCATGTGGTTAGAACTCTCCAAAAGGTAATTGGGCACAATCCTAGTACATCAGCATTACAACTATGTTATGTTCCGACCGTGTTATAGGAAAGAGCTACCACCAAATGGAGTGGGTCTTCTCTTGATGATGCAGGATGAGTGTCTCTATCGTTGTCCAGAGTTGGACGCCTGCATCAACTCGAGCGTCTGGTGCGATGGCATGGAGGACTGCCCATCCGGAATTGATGAATCCATTACACACTGCTCGATACTCTTTCAACTGCCACCAGTTTATCTCGTCCTCGGACTGTTCGCGCTGATCGCCGCCAGCGTCGCGACGATCATGGTCTTCTACAAAAGCTGCCGGCGAAGACCGTCGATATTACAAACGCGATTGAAAAGTCTTTCTTCATCGGACACTGCCATCATCGACGAGAAGGGAATGATTTGCTGACACAGCGACAATTCCGTGCGTTATGTCGAAGTGGACCGCGTCACGACAGTGTGACGCTGGTGCATCGCGATATAAATGGCGGAATTGTGAACCGGAACAAAACAAAACACAAAACCAACCATCACTCATTAAAACTCATACGCACCATTCGAAACATGTTCGTTGATTACTTGAGAGGTACTTTTACGTGGGTTATTATAAAAGATACGACGATAACAACGCGGAAATTTAGCAAGGAATGAATTTTTAGGACCAAACATTTTACTGAGAACAAAAGCGTTCATTAATTTTAAGGCTCATTTCATCAAACATCTCCACATCTCTTCATGCCAATATATTCATCAAACAAAAATTAGACGTTTGTGATAGAAGTTTGTATTCGCGAAGAATTTGCAGCTGGAGAAACAAGGATTGAGTTTTGTTAGGCTGAAGCGCAAAATTTAGGAAATTTTACTCATAACACTTTAGCGAATACTTAACACTTAATAAATTTTACTACGAATATTTTACGATTACGCGGTGGCGACGTAACAAATCAAAACGTTCCAATCAAAATCTAATCTTTTCTGCTGTGCTCGTTTACTTTTCATGTGTTTTTTGATTGAAATTTTACTCTACTCGAAATGTTTGTAAATAAAGAAGTAAAAAAATGTTTAAAATGTGAACATTGCCATTGTTCAGCATCCATTACGTATTGCAAACCAAAATATTAGCGCAACTATTTAAGTAAAATCGATAAATTAATTACAAGTATAACGATGTCGTTTCTAGCGAGAAGGATCGTGGTAGCCGACGTGTAAATACAAACGATTATTCTCGCGACATCATCTTTAGCACTTTGTACGTTCAGTACAATGACTGATAAATTGCAGAGTAAACGTAAGTTATCTAATAATATATTTAAGAGAAATGACATAGTTAATTATGCGACAAGCGACAAGATGGTATAAACTATAGTACATATTCGGGTTGTTCAAATAACATTGGCGTGAAAGTAACGACAACATTGCGACACTCACTTGTTCATCTACACAACTGAAACGATTCCGCGCATCTTGTTGTTACTTTTACGCAAGAATCAATTTTTGTATCTCTCAGATAAGTGGAAAATATTACCGACAGCGTAACAAATCCAAATTTTAAAAGTGAAATGTTACGGAGCGCAGAATGTGGTGGAAAATGGCTCGAAACTGAAGTAATAAAGTAATTAAATTAGTTGCATAGAAATATAGACAAATAGTACTGAAAGAAATCTAATAAAACCTTAGCAAATTACCTAATTACCTAATTAATGCAAAATGAAATATAACGAAAACTAATAATGAATTATTGACATGAAAAAAAACTATGAAGATACAGAGAAATGAAAAAGAAGAAAAGAAGAAGAATAAAACTACTATTACATTGTGAACATTCGCATATCCGCCTCTTGAATACTTCCATTCGTTATGTTGTTATCTCAAAGTTTTATGTGAGTTTTTGATCGGTTCTATAATTCGATAAGTTCGCACGAATTAAATTCGACAATCGATTGAGAAACCTGCCGTTGATTTCATATCAAAAAAAAATCTTAACACGTAATTTGTATTACTTAACTTGTGTTTGCGGTCAGGTGTCTGACAATAAATCCAAAAAAAGCTATAAGTAATATTATATTATTTATATACAGTAATAAAAAGTATAAATGAAGAAACGATTTATTCATTGCAAAAGGAGAACCTATGTGAAGAGACATGTTAAAATACGAAAAATTCCTAATAAAGTTACTAAACATTCCATTGTGAAGTAAATATATAGTAATTGAATCCAACACACACATACACATGCAAACGGGATGCGTAGATTTTTGAAAATGTATTGATTACGATAACGGTGTTATCTTGGAATTCAAATTGAACAGGAAAACAGGATATTGTAATGTGACTGTTACTAAAATAGAAATAAATTATTTTAAAAACTTGTTCCAACTTCATTTTATCCATTAAGAAATTTTCTTTTTGCAGTCGATCTTCTTTTGAAAGTAAAAATAAAAATATATTCGCCAGGAAATTGAACGCAAGGACTATATAGGTATGTGTAGTTGGCAAAATATTGAGAATTAGGTCAGCGTCAGAAATGAATAGGCAAACACATACAACGTTGTTGTCGGCTGATGACAATGCCATCCTTTCCCATCAGTATGACCGACTTTTCATCAGAATAGCACAACACAAACCATTGATAAATAAAAGGCATAAAATCAATAGGCTTAAATGATTTATACGAACTATGCACCTTGAAACGTGCACATCGTTTAAACTTAAACGAAAAGTGAAATAAATTACAGATAAAACTGCATAATCACACTAAGCCGGTAATTTCCTGCTATTAAGTGTGTTAATAAATAATTCAAACTAAAATCTAGATAAAAACGACGGAATAAGTCTAGAAAATAAAGCAATTTCAAGGTTTTAACCTAGGCAATCCAACAAGCATGACAAACTCTGACAGAACATAAAACGAAATAAAAAGTCAGACATTTCCAGACATGAATAATGCTGAATCAGAGTAACACGAACAATTATAGTTTATGTTGGTTGCCATTGATAAATAAACAGCAATTCGCGGTAAAAATCTAACCACGAAATACGAACGATATCAACTAGACTGATGAGTCATCGTGATATCCGCCTACAAGTTTCAAATTAAAGTACAGAAGCAAATCTCACGCATGCGCAGGCGAATTCTCCACTCAAAACTTGTTCTCCGTTCGAAGTCTCGGACATTTTCGAACGACGCGGCTACAATTCAAGTGAAGCCGGTCACCGAGTGGCAGACGCGTCCACGCAGTTAAATATAACTAGTACTTTTATTACCTCGCTTGTGTACACATCACATTTTGTGATTCCAAAATGGTTTACAGCGTAAGTAACTTACAGTGAATCGTTCAATACCTAAATATAATTAGACAATAAATATTTATTTATAATATATATAATGTTTTATTAAATTTAATAGCCAACAGTATTACCAGCGGAGCCATTCGATCCGGCTGCCGATGCCCAAGCACTGAAGACCGCCTTCAAGGGCTTCGGGTCTGACGAAAAAGCGATCATTGACATCATCGCGGGCCGCACGAATGCCCAACGCGCCGAAATAGCCACGCAATTCAAAACTATGTTCGGTAAAGATCTCATCAAAGAGTTGAAGAGTGAGCTACGTGGTAACTTCGAGGATGTAATCATCGCGTTGATGATGAACCCCGTCGAGTACCAGGCGAAAGAATTACATAAGTCCATCAGTGGTTTGGGCACTGATGAAAAAACTCTCATGGAAATTCTTTCCATTCATACTAATGAAGAGGTCGTTGCTATCAAGGACGCTTATGAAGGACGTGAGTAATTATTAACTCAACAATGATATCTTTATGACACGCATTAATGATTTAGTCTACCAATCCTCATTGGAGAGTGACATTAAAGGAGATACCTCGGGGACAGTCAAACGTTTATTCGTTTCATTATCTGTTGTAAGTATTCGCTTTTAATTTAATAGTGAAAAGACACATCCTAGATTTTATCGATCTGTTTGTCGCGTCAGAACGTAACTAACATAAGATATATCAATTTTATAGGGTGGTAGGGATGAATCTGACGAAGTAAACAAAGAACTCGCCTACCAAGATGCCCAGGCTTTACTACGCGCTGGTGAATTGATGTTTGGAACAGATGAATCCACTTTTAACATGGTAATGTGCCAGCGTAACAGACCTCAATTGAGGCAGATCTTCGACGAGTACGAACATCTCGTAGGTCATTCTATCCAAACCGCCATTGAAAACGAGTTCTCGGGTACTGCCAAAGAGGCTTTGTTGGACATTGTTCATTGTATTCAAAATCAGATGGATTACTTGGCGGAACGTCTGTTCAAGAGTATGGACGGTATTGGAACCGACGACAGAACACTGATCCGCATTGTTGTCTCCCGGTCGGAGAACGACTTGGGGGAGTTGAAAAACGTTTTCGAAGAAAAATATGGCAAATCTCTTTCGGATTGGATTAGGGTAAGTTGATTAAATGAATGAATTATTTAAAAGTAATATTAATTTCTTTAGAGTGATACATCCGGCGACTACAAAAGGTGTCTGCTTGCAATCGTCAATTAGCTCACATTTGGGCCATCTACACATGATAAGTTAAATAAATACAAGGCCAATGTTAATGTCACTTATTTATATAAATTTTATCTTTTCGAGAAAAAAATATGCTGAATTAATGCCAATTCTGTAAAATCTTTACGCTCCTCAATAATCCCTGTGAATATTAAACAATTCTAAGAAGCTCTACCTGAACCTGAGTTTCTGGTTAGTAAAGTTGCCTAGGCTAAGCGATCAAATAAAATTTAAACAATCCCACCACGTTTATAAATACACAATTAACCAGGTCCCAGAAGCGAATATTGGAACCACATCTGCTACTAGGTACAACTACCACAACAGAATAAGAATAAACAATTCCTGCGCAGTCTCGAAAAAACCTCCTGACCTTGTTCCGAATCCAATGTAATTTGTATGTCGTCCGCGTTTTCTATACCCATCATACTCTCATTCATCGCATTGCAGTGTTCCGACTGTACCACGCAATCCCCTCTAGTGCACGTGACGTGCCGGTTGAACGTATCGCGGTTAGACGTTTTAATAATTTCACAACGCGACGCGACTCAGTCCATCGCTAACACGTCACACACAATCGTTTGACGACAGTGCGTTTCCAAAAAAATAACAACGCCGCGTATGAATCATTCGCTCCTCTAGAAGTGCTCTTAATCAGTACGTATTTATAGTGACAAACAGTAGCTTGTTACAGTTAATAAAATTAAACTGCGCTACGTAGAGTCTCAGTTGCAGTTCGTGTGATAGCAGTGTTTGAACGAGGTCGTTTTGTTTGAATCGTAACGCAATGTCTTACCCACCGTATCAACAGGTGAGTGCTAATTAATTCAGATCCGTATAAAGGTCTAGCACAATTGAATCGAAGGGAAATAGGAATAAAACACGAAACTAACACAGAACTCGTTCGTGCTAATTTGTTTGTTTCGCATGTCGTGACGATGTTTGCATGTCGCATGTTGACATCCTGACCAAGTAATTTCCATTTTCAAATATTACCAACACCATTCAACGAACATTCCATTATTCCTTTTCACAAAGCACTTGCGAACGTATGTCGTGTTATTCCGATGCCACATAGATAATGACAACGCAACAAAAAACGATAAAAACACCCGCTATTGATTTTATTCAGGCGCCAGACGGCTCCCAGCCGCCGTATCCGCAACATGGAGCCGGCATGCCGTACCCCGGCTACCCTCCCGCACAGTACCCGCCGCAAGGCGTCTTCCCGCCAAGCCTCGGCATGCCAATGAATACACCGATGTACATGCCACAACCGTACGGCGGTATGGCGCCAGCTCCCTACCCGCCCTATGGCGGCGCTCCTGGCTATCCGCCAGCCGGTGGGCCTGGTTATCCCGGGGGACCACCACCCGCTGGTCCCGGTTATCCCGGGGGACCGCCACCTGCTGGTCCCGGATATCCCGGCGCGCCTCCACCAACCGGAGCACCCGGTTATCTACCTCCGCACGTGGGCGACGGTGGTTATCAGCCGCCCGTCGGCAACGTCCATAACCCGCCAAGTGTTAGTCATGAAATTAAGGTGAGATTACTGATTACACGCCATTCTAATATATATTGTACTTGGGGAAAACCTGTTGTCCGAAATGTGATCGTTAGAGCTAATGTGACGTCGACATGGAAACCACTTGTAATTGTCAATTTATTCATTTTTATACCCGCGTAATAAAGTTCGCTTTCATATGGCGCACTTAACTTTCCAAACCAATTAACTGATAACCAAAAATAAGCATTTATCGTTATCATAACTCCACCTGTAATAGACTTAAATATCATAAAATCATGAATATGCGAGTGGTAAATAACAAGCACCTAAATTTAAACTAAAGTTATACAGGTTTTCTATTGTTTAATGGCTAAAACAACAACAATAGTAAATAGCTACAACCTTGAACTTAATTTTCATGTTTACAGTATACTCCAACCTTGCGCCCTGCTAATCCATTCGACCCGCGGGCGGATGCGGAAGTTTTAAGGAAAGCAATGAAAGGTTTTGGCACCGACGAGAAGGCCATTATTAATGTCCTGGGACGCAGGACGAACTCTCAACGCCTCGAGATTGCTCTACAATTTAAAACCTTATACGGAAAAGATTTGGTGAAAGATCTGAAGAGTGAAACGAGCGGAAAATTCGAAGATTTGTTGGTTGCACTAATGACACCGCTTCCATCATTCTACGCTAAAGAACTGCACCACGCTATCAGTGGTATCGGCACCAATGAGGAGACCCTTATCGAAATCATGTGCTCGATGGATAACAATGAAATTCGTTGCATAACCGCCGCTTATCAAGCAGGTAATAACACCTATCGATATAATATGTTGATATAACTTATTGATATAACGATTCTAATCAACTATAACGATTTTTAGCGTATTATCGATCATTGGAAGATGATTTAAGGGGAGATACATCCGGTACATTCAAACGTCTGTTGGTTTCTCTGTGTACTGCTGGACGAGATGAAAATCCACACGTGAACCATGCCCAAGCAACAGCCGATGCGCAAGATTTACTAAACGCTGGTGAATTGCGTTGGGGAACGGATGAATCCACGTTTAATATGATTATGTGCCAGAGAAGTTATCCGCATTTGCGTGTTGTCTTTGACGAGTATCAGCGCATTTCCGGGCGCAGTATTGAGGAATCCGTGAAAAGCGAGTTCTCTGGTAATAGCGAAGATGGTCTGCTTGCCATCATACGCTGTGTTCGTAACCGACCGGCGTTTTACGCGAAAATGTTGCATGAAAGCGTCAAAGGTATGGGCACCAATGACAGACAACTTATTCGTCTTGTAAGCACACGCTGTGAGGTTGATATGGAGGATGTCAAAACTAATTACCTAGCGAAGTACGGCGAATCGCTCAAGGATGCTATTTCGGTATGTTTTAATTTTTCGCGGGCGGACAACAAAATTAACTTTTTTGTTTGTTTATAGGGTGATGCATCTGGAGACTACAAGAAGTTGTTGTTGTGCCTGATTGGCGAGTATTAAATGACCAGCTTCAGTACTTATATTGAATGAATGTCTATTTGCAAAACTTATTCCTGTCCAATAGGTCTACGTAAATTTATATGAAATTAATTTTATTAATTACTATTGTATTAATAACTTGTCGACTGGAAAACGCCTTTTATGGATCAATTTTGATGAATGTTCATAACTATTTTATGCACGCAAATTATATAAATAGATGTTTCTAATAAATTTATACTACATATTTTAAAATGTGTCTGAATGTTTATCCAAACGACCTTAAACTAGCAGATATTTTTTTTTGAGAATTTCTTCGCATATTGAGGTTTTAAGGTAGGCAACCAATTGAGTAGCAATAATCTCAACCTGTGCAAATTTCTATATGGATTTTCATATTCCCATATAATTAATAAGGTTTCATGAAAACTTTTACATACAACATATCTCAGTGCGAAAATAATACTAACACTATAATGAACACATTTATAATCGTAGCTTTAGTCCCGCTTTTGGGTAACTTGCAAAATTTTGTGGGTTAGAAGTATAAACAACTTGCATATGTTTTATAACATTTAAAATCAAAGTAATATAGTGTGATACCACATACCTTAAACGCCCCGATGTTGAACACTGCAGTTTGTGGAACGAATGCGTGTTAATTCACAATTCACGAGTCTTTTTCTTTATAATAATTAAAGCACGACGCGGCACAACGAAAACACACTCCGAGTAAAAAGCGCGCCAATTTAAAACACGCAGGCTTCACGCGTTGCACGCACGTAGAAAACGTAGCCAACCAACGTAACCTTGAGCTTGAATAGAGCGCGTAGTAGGCATGCGCCACACCACACACATTGCACAACGGATTCAAATATCGCCGCTGCTGCTTTCCACCATCGATTAATCCTGCACGTCGCCTTGTGGGCACGACAACAGCCGCGACCGGTGTCTTTTTGTCTACAGCCTACAACGCATTGTGGATTAAAATAGCGATGCGGCGACAGCAACCAAACCGAGTGCTTTAAGACTGCGAATTGTGCTGAAATTGTGATACGTGAACAGGGTTATTATAGGTAAGTTTTGAATTGGCATTGAACTAGGAAATCAGCTGGTGGATGTGATCCTGCGAGGCAGAAAAGGGCAGCGCGCAGTCCAAGGACGTTCACGCAAGCAGGAGCGCTATATAAACAACCGCAGGGTCCGCAAGATAAACAAATTGCGCGGTATTCGTTTAGAATTGTAATAATTCAAACTTTACACATTCTCAATCTTGTCACTACTGCCAAATACTCCACTTTAATAATAATTTAATCGAAAAAGAATAAACTTTGAATTGCATAGGAAACGCCTTTTTATTTGATAAATTTCTAGAATTTGGACTGGGAACTGATGAAGAAATGTCAAACACTATTTTAAAAATGGGTATGCAATATTTTGCCTTTCATAACAAAAAAGTTAAAATATTACTTGCTTTCAGATAACTTAGAAATGCTCAGAAGTCTGTATGATTTCCAAGCAACCTACACAAAAACCCTCACTTTTAAATCAAATGATTACTTTATCCTTCATCAGACAACAACAAAACACAAAAACTGGTGGGAAGTGATCAATGAACATGGGGAAATGGGCTACATTCCTTCAAATTATGTAGAAGCACAAAATGTCACTCCAAGTTTCTACAATCAATGGTTAGAGAACGTCATTGATTACGTTAGTCGGAATGAAATTCCACCTCAGTATCTATCCTCAAATAAAAAAGAACTACTCACGCGGCTAAAAGACATGAAGAGAAAGCTGGATCACTCGACGAACGAGAACGGGACCGGCCCGGAATTACTCTACAAAAATAGCGACGGTGTTATAGACACAATCAAACGTAGTATTGAAAAGTTTGAGAACGAAATTGATCTGGATCAGAAACCGTCGAAGGAAAACTCATTTGATAAGGTTGATAATGAAGAACGTCGCAAATCAACTGAATGCGCCGTACTTCAAGATCCGATGATTAATAAACAGAATGTTTATGAACTGGTAGAGAGTGTGCGGATCAACACGCAACTATCGCACGAAATGTCGCGAATTGCAGTGGCGACAGTCGTGCAAGGCTTGCATGAATTACTACCAGGCTCGGTGTTTCCACATTTGAGTACAATTCTTACACATACAGAAGAAAATCTCTCAGTTGATGATGTACAAATTGAGCAGACACACGACGCTAGCAGGTTGAAAATCATCTTTCATGAATTGACTTATTGCAAAGAAGATTCCCAGCAAAGAAGTTGGATGTTGCATGAAGATGAAGACACGATTAAAGATTATTTAATCGAGTTACGTTCTATTCTCGTAAGATGTTTGTATTGTCTCTGGTAAAATTACTAATTGATTAATTCCAGAGTAACGCTGATCCCAGTATAACGAAACACGTGATTTCCCAAGACCACTATCATGTGGTTATTACACTCATTCAATATTATCAAATGGAAGTGCGATGGTCGATTCGACAGCTCCTCCTACAAGTATTTGGCTGTATGTGTGGGCTAGAAAAAACAATACTGGTCATCATGTTGAACTCGGTGCTGCCGGGTGAATTGGCGAGAGATATGCTGGCCAATCCCAACAACGCTACCAAACTCAATTATTCCGCGCTGCTTCTCACAATGATGTTTTCAATGGGCGAACCGATGCCTGTCACGCATTTAGGTATGACTCATTAATTATAAACATAACAAATATTAACACGTTCAATCAATTCGTAGAGTTTCTTGGATCGGAATTTCTTCGATTCATACTTGATAATATTGAATGTCCACCGGAGGAAGACTACGATGAGGATATTCCCGATTTATTTGTCAATTTTATTCTTTCGTTTAATTTACAATTTGATGATTTGAACAGCGACGATAATATCGTTGTAAAAGCGTTAGCTGAACGTGACGTTGCGAAGCATTTCACCGAGAAGATTCTGTTGTTATTCAATCGCGACGAGGATCCGTCGCGTATTTTCGACCATGAACCGGCGCCACCTCATTCTGTCGTTAAACTATTCAATGACCTATTTAACGTCCAGAAAACGGCTGATTTGTTCTATACGAATGATGTTAAAGTCTGCATCGATATTACTGTTCGTAATATATCCGATTTATCAGCTGGAGATAAGGTAAAGCTTTGTTACATTATTGGTTTATTTTTATCACGAGTTTATGTGCAGAGGCGGCACCAACACATTGAATTGTGTCGACGAATCGTCCGCAATACGAATTACAGCGAGCATATGCATCAGCGCGACGAGATTCTCAAATGTTTCACGAGGATCTTCTGCGAAGAATCCGGCCAAAGCGTGCAAGATCAAAAACTCGTCAAGGAGATAATCAACGAGTTTCCTGAATATTTTAAATAAGTTTTCAAAGTCTCACCTTTCGTGAATGTACATTGTGACACGTTCTAGTGTTGAACCTCTTAAAATACTTCCAACATTTAATTTTAGAACTCCTATACTAGTATGATAACATTTTTGACAGCTATAACACTTTCAATATCAAACTATATATAATTATGAACAATTAATACTCCAAAGGAAGCGAATAATAACTATATTTTTATGTGATATTATACATATAGGATTTTGTTTGGAAATTTTATCGCGCATTTAAAGTTTATGCTTGTTAGGAATAGAAAAAAATCGATATACTTCTGGTTTCACGTTTGATGGTATATAACATTCATTGTAATGTAGTTGTTAGCATAAATATTACTCGATTTGTATGATACCTTCACCGAGAAAGAGATATTATTTCATTTTAAATGTGAAATCTAGTTGGATTGTTGTATTTCTAATTATCTGTTTATTAGAGCGCCTTATAATGGACGTTATGCACTTTCTTTAGAGCTGTATGTATTGTTACATTCTATGCAAACGCTTAAAGTGTCTATTTTACAGTTTACGTGTTAGATGATTATCTAGAAATGTTTGCGTTAAAGTGGCTGTGTCAATGTGGGCGTTAGTAGCGCGCCATCAAGTATAAAGCGATGGGTATGTGCCAAGTTAAATGATGTCAAGCAGAACTGAGCAGTAAATGTGTCGATCCGCTTCGAACACAATATCTCAACATGAGCATGACTTGTAGATGAATATCCATGATTCATGATAAAAGTTAAACAAACAGATGTATGTACGTTTTAAATACAGGGATGAGTCAAGCTGATAGTAATGTGTGGGTGCAATTTAGCGGCCTAGTTTTACAGTTTTTAGCTTTAGCAAATCACTATTTAGCAATTCCTAATCTGCAATACCATACCAAATATGTATTTATCATCTGTACAATATAATAATGACTAAATTGATAAATAATAGTACAAATTATGGCAGAAAGCACTTTACATAAAATTATTATAAGAGATCTAAATGCAAAACAATGTCTTCAAATTTCCGCAACTATTTTATTTCTTGAGCATTGTCAAATCTATCGTGGAAGCAGTACCAAAATTGATACCAAATGTGAATTGTTATTTGATCATACCTGATCTGTTATGTACTTCTTATCAGCATTTATGAAATTATCTGTTCCGATCGTATAAAGCAAATATATACATACCATGTAAACCCAGTGGTATTGATTCTACATTATAAATCATTCTATGCAATGTAATACATTTGGAAAAATATTTAAATAACCATACTTAGTAATTGCAATATATATTTTTAGTATATACAAAGTAAAGTATTCCAGGTAACTTAGTATAATATATATGAAAATTTAACTCACAGCAATTTTTAAAAATTAGTGCAATCAACAAAAATAAACTTTGAAATATAATAATGGTTGTTAAAAATATATTAAAATATATTAGTTGGCTTAATTTGAGTTTCCAATTAAACTATTTTGATTGTACAAAAATATATACCATATTATACATTACTCCATCTCTTCTGAGATATCCTGCTCAGCTATACTATCAAATGAGAATTTCAAGGAAGCTCCAGCCATTTTCACTCCATAGTGTCCTTTCCAGAATAATCCATCTTGTCCATCATGTTGATACACAATGTAATCAATATCATCATCATAATCATTGATTTCAAGTGTAAACTGGAATTAAATCACATATATTTACACAAGTAGATAAGAAATAGAAGTTAAATATTACCTTTTCCCATATTCCTTCTGTCCATTGTTCAAACATATTTTCTTTTATAAAACAGTTAAAGTTTTTGTGTGATGATACTACACGAATTACTAGCTTAAATCTAGCTGAACAATCAAATCGCGGCGCAAACCATTCGCTTACAATAATTGTAGGTTTGAATTTATTTATAATGTGCCTTTTAAATGGACTGTTCTTGAATTTAAGAACTTGTTGCTTGCTACATAAGCCAAATGAAGTAGCAAAACAACTCTTATGGCCTCTGAAATCATCAACGTCCTCTGGCAAAGGACAACTTCCACTTGGTTCATTCTCAATCACAAAACCATCACCACTAAAAACAGGATTGATTACCCAATGATCAAATTTCTCTTGTCCATTTCCATTCTTTATTAAATTCGTATCAAAGAAATCAGTGGCAAATTTAGCATAATAGAGATACCAGGGTAAGCATTTCCATGTAACATTATTCTGAAGACACACTTCATGCCATAGTGCTCTGGACTTGATTATTCGATTCCATGTTTTGCACACCAATTTGCAATTTAGAAGTTGCTTAGGATCAACACGACTTAGCAGTATTATCAGTACATCTTCTGGAATATATACACCACGTAAACAGTACCCGTTTGTGCCGTCGTCATCTTCTATCGCTGACATATTGTTGTTGCTTTTGGGAAACATATTTCCCATGCTTTTGTTTTCAAGTGTTACTCAATCAACAGCTGAAAACTGACTTCATACTACCTGGCGGTACACACAATTGTACGTATTATTGTGCAACAAGCACAAATATGGAAGGACATAGGTAGAAACCGGTGAAAAGTTGAGCACAACAACACAATAAACATCTAAACGTCAAAGACAGCTGAACGTGAGCTCAGCCAGTAATGTGCAGTAATGAATAATGTCATTGAAGTTAGTGGGGAGATTCAACTTTTCAAGTTTATGTGCACGATATCATTATTAAAACAGAGTAGCTATCAGTACTTTTATAACCTTTATGAGATTTTTTGGAAATAATCAAAATACACTCATTCGGTTATTTGGCATTTGTGCCGAGATTTCACTTTTCAAGTATATTTACGCGTTATCTTAATTTAAACAGAGTGGTATCAATGTCTAATATCAATATTCTTTATACATTAAATAAATAATATTATTAAACCAAATTTATTAACAAAATACTTCTTTATTCAGAATCAATTTTCTTTTGTATACAATCATTTAAAATTTAAATAAATCAAAATAAAATACTTTAGTACAAATACAAATCTGTTCCAGATAAGAAACGTTTTCAATATTTCAATAGTTTAAATGTTAATCGGCTCCGTATTTCCACACTGTTGAACACTTGAAAATTAAAAGCTTTGACGGTTGGTTGATTTAGCGAAATGTTTATTCGCCGGTCATCATCTCCATAAATTCTGCAAATAGAATATTATGTTATTGTTACGATGTAAAAACGCGTTTGCAAAACGCCAAAAATTATACGATTTCGGTGCGTGTCCAAAGAAAATGTAGCTTTAGGCAATAAACAGAAACGCCTTGATCGACTATTAAATTTAACAACGCTCGCCTATGAAAAAAGCGTTCAAGTTTACCGCAAAGTTTTTCGATCGGCCATCGACGCTTTTATTATGTATTGAGATTGAGTTTGTGCATGATGTGCGTTTTGCGCATGGATAACTTATTTATAGTCGTTTCTAAATTTATCAAAAAGAAGCGAGGTTTCTGTTTATGAGTTTTTATGGTTGTTTAAAATGTTTTATGTGTGCTTTCATGTATTGTGTGGTTGTGGTGTATATAGGTACCTTGAAAATCAACGGTGCCAGAACCGTCCGAATCGATTTCTTCGATCATCATGTCCAACTCCTTGTCGGTGAGTTGATCATCGAGTTCGCGAAGGATTTCACGCAAACAACTTGTAGGAATATAGCCGTTGCCTTCTTTATCGTAGAGGCGGAAAGCTTCCTTGAGTTCTTTCTGCATGGCTTCGTCATCTTCTTCAACGATGAATTTAGCAGCCAGAGTTACGAACTCTTCAAACTCAAGACGTCCAGATTCTGATAGAATAAAGATGTTTAATGTAAAAACGCTTAAAAATTAAAAATAATAATCTTACTGTCAGCATCAACTTCATCAATCAATTCCTCTAAGATTTTCTTATCGAAAGGTTGACCCATAAGTCGCAGAATATCAGCAACCATGTCAGTTGGAATTGATCCGGATTTTTGGCTGTCGAAAGCTTCGAACGCCTTCTTCAAGACTGGAATTAAATTACATTCAATCATTAATTTTTTTAGTCACACGGCTGCCATGTGATAAATTCCCGATGGTACATTCAAAACAGGTGTGAGCAATTTGGCTTTACTTTTCAGCCGCCTCACATATCATATGCTCGTATTTTCGAAGTTTACACGTTAGCACTGGAAGTGCTCTAGGTCTATATTTCAGCTGACTCGCTCGTATTTTGCACCCACGACACCCACATCCAAGTCCAAGTGGCCGAGTTGTATGTTATGAAAAATTTGCTTTGGCGTAATAATTTTCGACATCATTGCGATCGTGATCGTTTCGTGAGACGGTTAGACGCTCGAAACGAATAGATGTGTGTCTATTAACCGCGCACTGCAAATCACTTGAGTTCCCGATCAACAAACACGAAATTTAAACTTAGCCATCGGCGTAATTTATTTGACGTTTGGCAAGTGAACGCAAGGCACATCGAAAGTGTTCAATTTCGAAAATTCAAGCATTGAAAATCCTAATAATCTACTCGTACACAACAAAAAGCATTACTTACTAAAGATAAGTAATAAAAAAAGCATTACTAACTTTTAACTTTGTTTTAACTTGTCAGAATGAGTATTTGTTGTGTGCATATAATATTAAAATCTGGCACGTGGGTGCTAATAGAATCATAACTGTCACCCGAGCTTTTGAAATAATGGTACTTCTGTGTCACATGTTTCGTGATGTGACAAGGCGTCTTTTGATTTTATATTGGGGAGAATTTATTTATAAATGCGTATAACTTGTAGCTGCAAAATTTTGCAATTCTGCAATCATCACTAGCGGAGTTAAGATGGTACACAAGTAGAGTAACTCGTAACTCAATTCACTGAGCACGTAAATCACTTACCAGCGAGCTGTTCTGGGGGCAATTCATCCTGCAATCAAACGAAGGAGAGAAAACACATTAGTTACAAATGTCCACATTGATGAATACTAGCTCAAAAGCATTTTTGCAATTTTTTTAGCAAAAATTTGCAATTTTTAATTTAAAAAAATTGATTTGCTTCTAAAATCTATGCAAAATTTGTTTAACACTAAGCAAAGGGAAAAGGGAAAAAGAAATAACTTGATATTTACCATATTAAAGTAACTTCCGGTTTTTAGATATCACACAAAACACAAAACTTCTTTCTTTGATGGAGACTTAAACTTTGGTTGTGAGTTGTCTTGGGGATGAAGCTTCGTGGAGAGCAAAGCTAAGAGTGACTTATCCGTCGACGAAGGCGGCGGTGTTGTATATTATCCCGACGGGCGGTTATAGTGGTTTGCTATACGATTTTCCACGCTCCAAGCGCCCGCGCGCGCCATATGCACAAGACGAAACATTTGCATTCGCGCGCACCAATCCGGACGCACCTTACAAACGGCAGCAATTTCCAGTTTTTCGCCATTATTTTTAACTTTTTTTCCTCTTTTACATTTTGCATATCACGCTCGGGGCGCGTACGTGTGCAGCACATTTTGCTCTCGCACGTCGGCGCGTCCATTTGACGCGTATTGCTTCAGTGTGTGAGCATAAACATTTTTCAACAATTTGAGATGTGCGATGGGTGAGCGGTCCAAACAACAGGAATAAAAACGTGAAGCGCATGTGGCTGAAAATTGGGTGAACGACAAGGTTAGATAGACAAACGAACGCGAAATGTTTACGCCGAGCTTGAATAAACATTACGCTGCTGTCTTCTTGGGGTTTAGTGCGTTGTAAGTTCAGTATGCTGACAATGGCGGACGAAACACAAAGTGTAAATAGCGTAGGAGTTGTTGGGTAGTGTTTATACAAATGTTGGTAATTTGAGACAAGTTTGTTTGAGTGTTTACTTGTTTTTGGGATATTGTCAAGCTTTTTATAGTTTTCTTTGGAATTGACGTTGACACGTAGTGTATTTTTGATTTTATTAGTTTTCCTGTAATATTCTACCGTTTTTTACAGTTCAAAAACCCAAACCACGTTTTTTGCTTCTCCTATGAAAAATAATAGCTTAATAATTAGCAAAGTTAAAAAATAAACTATTAAAAAACATTAGACATCGTTTCAATAACGTTTTACTTCTTAAAAAATAAATCCAAGTCACAAACACAATGTTGAAAGGAAAATAATTGTGCCTTTCAATATTTAGTTAAAATTTATTAAATATTTTGTTGTGTACAATAGTATTATCCCAAAGATCAAACTTATTAATAAATATTAGATGCTAATGTATATGCACAACAAAATTTTGAGCCAATAAATAATCAACACGTATTAATTACAACAAATTCTTCGTATAAAATATAGTCTTAACATAAGTCCATTGAAGTTGATTAATCAGTGATGATGAATGCAGTACCACACAAAACTCTACTCTCCAGTCATCATCTCCATAAATTCTACAAAAAAAACCATAAACAATAATAATTTGTTAATAATTTAATATCTATTTATTCTATTACCATCAAAATCGACTGTACCAGAACCATCCGAATCAATCTCTTCGATCATCAAGTCCAACTCCTTGTTGGTCAATTGATCGTCCAATTCACGAAGGATTTCGCGAAGACAACTTGTTGGGATGTAACCGTTACCTAAAAAGTTCATAAATTGAAATTAGATATATGAACAAAATAAAACCGGAAACCCGGAATTGAAAATAAAAATATGAATGTATCTTGAAGGTCGAAATAACAGTATGGTATATGAGTGTGAATATGAGTATCAAACGTGGGATTGGTTTAGGTTTAGAGTTTTGAGCATTTGAAGTAATTCAAATGTTAGTCAATCCCAGATCGTGGATTATTTTAGTTGGAGCTCGTCCAAAACGTCTTAAAGCAAATCGTAACAAACCCGATACTACTGCATCCAGATGCATACAAATTTCGTGGCGTTGCAGTGGAATTTTACTACTTTACTCAAAGCAATAAATTTATTTCAGGCTGGAAATAAGTTACTGACTAATATTTGCTATTGTGAACAAATTTACGAATTAACTACTGTTTTTTAAATATATTTTATCTTCTGTCAAAACAAAATCCCGCAAAACAAAGCGATAAATCGATAAATTCATTAGAATAATGAACCACAAACACAGAATGTGTTTATATACTTTTACTTTCCAAAAAGAAAAAGCGAAGGAAAACAATGATATTTGAGCCAAATATTGTTTTTGCCAAAAAGTAACTTATCTCCTCGCCTCGTAAACAAAAACGTTTGTTTGTTGATAATATTTGTGTGGGTGAGAAACAAAAAAAAAAAATGATATTTACGTTGAATTATACCTTCTTTGTCGTACAGACGAAAAGCTTCCTTCAACTCCTTTTGCATGGCCTCAGCATCCTCCTCAACGATGAATTTGGCAGCTAAAGTGACAAATTCGTCGAACTCCAAGCGGCCAGATTCTGTAATTCATCGTAATTTAGCGAAATTTATGACTTTTCAAACATTTCACAGCTGCGAACGCAAAAAACATAAAAATATCTTACTGTCAGCGTCAACTTCATCAATCAACTCCTCCAGAATTCTCTTATTAAAGGGTTGTCCCATGAGACGCAGAATATCTGCCACCATATCTGTGGGGATTGATCCAGACTTTTGATTATCGAAAGCTTCAAACGCCTTTTTCAATACTATAAAAAAAAGCGAATAAAATTAATAAATTTATTATGTTTATCATAACAAATGAAACCACATTACACGCAAAAACCAGCGTGTGGTGTGGAGTGACGTGTAATAATAGAATGATTCGGCCTTTTTATAAACGCGTTAAAAATAAAAATTGAATGCTTCACGAGTGAATGGATGTAAATGCAGAGGAACGACGAATGAGGGCAAACACCTAAATGTAAGCAGATGTGATGCCTATGCATATTATAGATTATAATAAGGCTATTTATAATTTCACACGGTTTAAAATAAAAGCGCCATAAATTAGACGGTATTAATATCCGCCGAGATAGCTTCTGGTTAGAGATACATATTAGAAACATGAATTTAAAGTGTTTTTCTGCGAAAATAACACGAAATTTTGTCAGATTGTGGGAGAAACATTTGGAAATCGTCGAAAAATATGATTTATATTAAGAAAAAGATGAAAAAATGTTGTAGATCACAATTTTGCAGCTGTTTTTTTTTTTTGTGGAAAATTAAGTTTTTATTTATTTTCTTAGTCAGTTATGTGTTAAATCAAAATATTATGTGGAATATTAATAGTTTATTGTGATTTACGTAAAATTGACTGTTTATTAGGGGTAATTTTTCGCTAAAATTGAAAATGAGAGACTTTTTTATTATATCTGCCGCCATTTATAGGGTTTTTGTTTGTTTACCGTAGTCATGATAATGTTTTTTAGGTAAAGTGAAAATATCTAAGTTTACTTTATAGATAATGTCTTCATTATTACGGCGAATTAGTAAATGTTTTGCTTCTGCATTTTTTTATGCTAAATTGCATATTTTTTCAAAACTTTTAATTTTTGTATTTTTTACTGTTAAATATTATGTAAATTGCATTTCTGGATTACTCCACAATTCTCACGATGTATGGTAGTGCGTAGTGCGTGAACTCTCCGGTGTTGTGAAATTGAAACCGAATTTATACGCGAGTGCGGATCTAAAAATACTCACCGGCGAGTTGTTCCTGCGGCAAGTCGTCGCCCTGGCCCTAAAACACAATTTTCAAATATAACCCAAATTGATCGCTGCCGAATGCGGCTGATAATCAAATCACAACTCTCAACTTACCAACATAGCGATGATGCGATTGTCAAGGTTTACGGATCACAAAGCAATAAATACGAGTAAATAAAATGGCTCAGTGGCGAATTGTCTTCGACTTAATTTTAGTTGTAGCCCAAAGAGTTAGATGCACTATGGTCGGCGGTCGACTGCAACTGCGTTCGCTGACACCGGGTATAGTTTGTTATAGCGTGTTGCGTTTTCTTCACTTTTATAGTCGCTTGCTAATGCAGTCGGCTGGAAGTTTTCGTAAACATGCCGCGCGACTAGCGGAAAACGCTTCGTTTTTAGACGCAGACAATTGGAAAACGTCGCAATAATATTATTACGGGTTCTTGCACGAACTGCGTTGTCTATAAATTTGTGCCAATTATACTTACATCTCGAATGAGTGATGATGCTCATAAACTTCTATCTTGTTACAGGTACTTATGATTTTAAAAATTCAAAAATAATTTTTAATTTTTTTTGAAAAAAAGTTTAATTATTATGATTATTTGTTTTTAATTTTATAAAATTCAGCCACACTTTTCACATACTGTACGCAGAGATGTCAAAAGAAGAAAATTATAGACATTCTTAACGTATACATCAAAGCGCTCATAATGTACATAATATTATCTTGAAATCTAGCCAAATACGTTTCTGCAAAAACATGCAGCTAAGTTTGTAAAATAGTATGTAATAATAGATTTACAATAGAAATACACTAGTATGTTTACGTTTATTCCTATTTCCGAGGTACAACAGCTTGGCAAAAATTGGTAAACACTGACCTAAGATTTGTCATCAGTTTTCTTCACCTCATTTTTCGCAATTCCTCATACTTCATACAAACAAACATCGCAATAGGGAGGATTTGCAAATGTCAAAACATAGTAAATATATTGGATAAAACCAAATAATTAATTTATTTAAAAGTTGGACAATGCAACTGTTAAATAAGGTCATTTTATAGCTAAACTAAATCTTTAGGATTTCTATTCGTTTCAACCACGAAAAATAAATTGCCTACCATTTACAGATTGCTTAGGCAAAATAAGATAAAACAACCACACACATAAGAAATTATTTCTTATAATGATCATTATTAATTTCAATTCGCAATGGACTCTTATGATCTCCCATTTTGTCCGATGCCATACGACCAAAATTCTTAAAACCGGGACGATCAAGAATTTTAGCGTTGCCATTGCCTACATCCCCATCCCCAAGATTCATACTATCGTCTTCATTGGAAGAAGCATCACCGCTACTGTCGCCACTATCATCTTCACTTGACGTGCGAGAATCTCGTGTTTTTCTGCCACGTGAACCTGCAGCTGGCATTTGTAATCTATCCTTCACTGAAGGATTGCCTCTTGCAGCAGTGTTTACTCTTGACCAAACAGTGGAAGCCACCGTGGGTTGTTTCGGTTTTTTAATAACTACGGTTACTTTACTGTTGGTTTTCATGTCTTCATCTTCCTCAGAATAAGACTGCTCATTTTCCACGTCCATGTGCCTCGAACGTTTATCATAATTTCTATTACGTGATTCTCTCGGTGGTGGCGTTGGTGACTTATGACGCCTGTTCTTAAGTAACTCATCTCTGAAACGATGTTGTTTCGTTTTCTTGTTATCAAGGCGTTGTCGAACGTCCGTGGTATCATTACGCTTTTGAATCGTTAACGGAGCAGGATTTGTAAACTTTAATCTTGAACTAGTTAATCTACAAGATAAATCGACTTCAGACCTTTGAGGCAATTCACTTTCGGGGTCTCGATGATCAAAAATATCGTCAACATCATCATTTGCTTCGAAGTTATGAAGGATTTCACGTGGTTGCCCAGCTTTTCCACGAATCATTGAACGTAAATCATTCGTGCGTGGTTCTACTTCGGTTTTCGGCGGATTTGCAGCGCGTTTAATGGCATCCAAAGCCTTTTTTCGCTTGATTTTTGCTTCTTCCTCATCGGCATACATACGCATACGAGGTATTTTGGGTTTTTCCACAGGTTTAATTTCCTCTGCATCCTTATCCTTCTCAAAAGCAGTCTCTTGGCTTCGTTTGAAACCTAATCTGTGCTTCAATTGTGGTGCTGGCTGGACGACAGGCTCCGCTACATCTTCTGTTTTCTTATCTCTGTTCCACGATCGTGCAAGATCACCCCACGGATTTTTCGTGGGAATGTCGCGATTACGTTCAAATATTCCTCGAAATTCAGCTTTCTTCGACTCGGAAATGATCCCACCACCTCTTTCTGAATTTAAAACTCTTCGGTCTGAGATAAGTGCAAACCTGATTAAGATACATGTTGATTTCTGGTGTGGCGCACCCAAACGCCAATAACCAGGCGGAATAGGTATGTTAATATCAGATATGGAGACTCCTTCTCCATTTTCATCATCTTCTTCAGCATCTCCATTATTATTTTTTAATAGAATACTTTTTCCTATTTCAGGTACATGACCAGCTTCCACTGGTAATCCTTTTATAGGCTTGGACATATGAAATAAAGCCCTGGCTGATGATACATCATCTGACCACAAGACATTACATGCATTATTGTCTACCCATTCAATTGCAAGTGGTGAAAATTTGTCAAAGTACTCTAATAAATGATGTGAGCTCATTTTTTCAGTGCCATGAAGATGCAAAGTGTCAAAACACACCTCATCTTCATTATCATGATTAATGCCCAAACTCTCATGCAGGGTTTCAAAGTTTTCTCTTGTAAGTTTGACTGCTTCTTTGTTGTCCATCTGGAATCTATTGGCTCTCTCCAAACGTTTATTTAGATCATCCTTGTCAAAATTGTTGGGACCAGAAGATTGCGCCTGAAATAACATCAATTTTTAATACTTTAGTCATTAAATACTGTTAGTTTTGAGTAAACATACTTTTCTTTGGTGTTGAGAACTTGGTCTTGATGGATAAGTAATGGTGTTATCAATAATATCGTCAAAATCCACTGATTCCTCGATGATTTCTCCTTCTTCGCCATCGCTTAACTTTGTGGCGGAGTTTTCCAGATCCACGTCCATGGATTCGGCAAAACTATTATGGATTTCGATCCTAATGTTTGGCCTCGCGCTGTTTGCATCACTCTCAGCCATAATTAATTTATTATCTTTAATAAACTCAATTTATTATATAGTTTTGGATTCGAACAACACGCTTTGAAGAGACGACGCTTCAAAAGAAAAAAACAAAGCCTGTATGATCTAACCTTATCATTGACGTCTGACGTGAAACCAAGCGGTAAATTTAAACATTAGCAGGTGAACATTCAATAAATAAAGTTTAAAAACTTTGATTTAAAACGGTTTTATATTAAGTTAAAGTATTGGCATCTAAATAAAAATAATTTTTAATCAATAAGTATCATTTCCTTCAGTTTCACAAGTTTTATAGGCAACCAAACTCACCCAAAATGTCTGAGAAAATGCCAAGTAAACATTGTGCCTTGATTTTCATTCAGTTTGACATTGCAACGATAAAAAAACATTGAAACGCTGATAAGAGCGATAAGTGCACCGTTCACAAATAATTAAATAAAGCGTGTAAAAGGAGTCACAACCTGACGAAAATATCGCTGCCAGACATTTAATTTTCCACGTCGATAGAATGGTTGCAAGCAGATGAATTTTACTAAAACCCATGCATTTAATGAAAAAACATGCCTTTGAATGTTTAAACTGGGTCTAAATGTGTATCAACTGCAGCAATCATGTTCAGCACAGAAAACCTTAGAGAATTAGTTGCAGTCTCTGCCTCTATTTGTACAATTTTACAATTTTTATCTGGCACGTAAGTAGAACTGAACTGAACCGAATGATTTTTAATGTTCTAATGAATTATTTTGATTTTACAGGCTGGTTTGTCAAAAATTTATACAGAAAGGCTCAACTGGTGATACCTCTCCATTCCCATTTATCAGTGGTTGTTTATCAACCAGTGTCTGGTTAAGATATGGTTTCCTCATTCAGGAACATTCAATTATCCTGGTGAATACCATTGGTGCTACATTATTCTTTGCATATGTTGTTACATTTTACATGTACAGCCTGAAAAAGTCAGCTGTGGCTAAACAATTTCTTGTTTGCATATTAGTATTAATTGCAATACTTACCTACTCATCAATGGGAACTGATAGTGTAGAAGGTTTAGAAGTGACAAGAAACAGAGTTGGCACAGTGTGCTGTATCATGAGTATTGTGTTCTTTGCAGCGCCATTTTCATCATTGTTGCATGTCATCAAAGTGCAGAGTTCAGAGAGTTTACCATTTCCATTGATTATGGCTACTTTTGTAGTGTCTTGTCAATGGTATGCATATGGGTGCTTAATTAAGGATACATTTGTACAAGTAAGTAATCATGTTTGATAAGATTTTATTTTGATGCTAAATTGTGTTTTTTATTATTTAGATTCCTAACTTCATGGGAGCAGTACTATCAGGGCTACAATTAACGTTGTTTTGCTTGTTTCCCAAGAAATATAAACCTCTAGAGCAAATCTAATTGGAAAATTGAGGATATGTGGTTCAGATGTGAATTCAAGACTGTGCCTATTGGAATTGAGGCATTTTCTGTATTATAAATGTTGTATTACAATAATTAAGAATGATATTGCAAAGTTCGAAACAAAAATTACATTATTTTTAAATATCTAAATCTGTATTTTCTTTCTTCTTTTGTATTTAGAATCAATTCTCGAAGATAGGAATTGAATTTTCTGTTTAAATCATTGAACAGCGCGACGCTACCGACGCTTCAACTCATTTTATGTTATTCCTGCTGTCTGCTGCGCCCTGCGCACACGCATTCAGTATGCGTCTATATATAGTTAATACACACATCCAGAGAAACCTGCTGTAAGTGGGGGCTTCAACTCGTTTCACGACCATGCATAATTTAATTCAACGTTCGACGACACGTAGTCACCGTAGCTACTATCTTTGCATGTGTGTAAACGTTTAGAGTGGCATCCTCCAGTGCAAGCCGCAAGTCATCGTACGTATTGTTTTGTTGTGTTGCCGCTTGTTGGTTTATCAGCATTTATCAACCGGCTTTTATCGGCGTATCTAGCCACAACCAATACGCGTTTCGCCGGCTACACGTTTAGAGAGCGCCGCTATCCATTCGACAATTCAGTCCTTCGCCGCACGCCAAGTGGTACATTTCGCTTCGTACACCACACACACCACATAGAATCAAGGTAAAACTTATTGCAGTTGCATTTTAATGAAATTTAAATAAACTACGACGCAGTAATAGCTAAAATAAACATCATTAACTACAAACAACCTCAATAAATTGCAATTTTTGTGTATTCCCAAGGCTTGTCCAAAAAATAAGCGTTTGATAAAGCAATGCGCTTGTTTGTTCAAGTTAAACTGTTTTTATCGTCCTAAATGTTTAACTCTACACTCACATTATGTCACGTAATAAGCGCTAAACAATATTTATGAGTTAATGTTGTTTATTCAACAGTGAAATAATTAATATTCTAAGGTCAAATTATAGTGAGCGCATTGTTAACTCAATTTTTTAATTAATTGTTAATTATATTCTTGCATTGCGTGCTGCAAGACGGATTACAATACAATGAAAAAGAGTTTACTGAAGTTTCGATGTATTTAATGAACCGGTATTTCGATTACGTAAATATCCACAAACGGTACAAAGTGCAGCAGACACTCAGACGTATTAAATACCGTTAATCAGTTCGTACAAATCACGTAAACTTTTTTTTTTTATCGTTGTTTCTATTCACGTCGAAAAAATTGCAATCAATATTGCTGATAGTGTTTACATGCGTCTTTCAAAGTTTATCAGTTAAATTGCAAATATGACCGAAGTTTATTTATAGTTTTGGAAGTAAAAAATTATTGCAATTTTATTCTAACAATGGCGTGTCTTGTTGACACATGTCCTGTTCGTAACATAGGTAATCAATTTATATGATTTTATACGCAAAAGGCAGACATCTTGTCAATTCATAGTTTTCCTGTTTATTGTTTGAATTTCTTGTTTCGAAGTGGATTTCATGTACTCCGATAAAGAACGTACGTTTTCTCTTCTAGGCAACATGAGCAAAATCAAGGCCGGCCCCGTCGTAGACATTCTCGGCGATGAGATGACCCGCATTATCTGGGACTCCATTAAAGAGAAACTCATCCTGCCGTTCTTGGACATCGACTTGCACATCTACGACTTGGGTATTGAAAATCGTGACAAAACCGACGACAAAGTCACTGTTGAATGCGCCGAAGCAATCAAAAAGTACAATGTTGGTATTAAATGCGCCACCATCACCCCCGATGAAAAGCGTGTGGAAGAATTCAACTTGAAGTCAATGTGGAAGTCTCCCAATGGTACCATTAGGAATATTCTTGGTGGAACCGTCTTCAGGGAACCGATTCTATGCAAAAACATTCCGCGATTGGTAACGTGCTGGACCAAACCAATCATCATCGGTCGTCATGCCCACGGTGACCAGTACAAGGCCACTGATTTCTTGGTACCCGGCAAAGGTAAACTCGAAATGATCTTCACCGGTGACGATGGTACGAAACAGAATTATACCGTTCACGAGTACAAGGGTCCTGGTATTGCTATGGGCATGTACAATACCGATGAATCTATCATTGACTTTGCGCATTCATCAATGAAATATGCTTTGGAACGTGGATATCCCTTGTACTTGAGCACCAAGAATACTATTCTTAAGAAGTACGACGGGCGTTTCAAGGATATCTTCCAGGATATTTACGATAGGGAATACAAAGCTAAATTTGAAGCTAAAAACATCTGGTATGAACATCGTCTCATCGATGACATGGTAGCGTACGCCATGAAATCCGAAGGTGGATTTGTCTGGGCCTGTAAGAATTACGATGGTGATGTACAGTCCGATTCCGTTGCTCAGGGCTATGGCTCTCTGGGTTTGATGACATCTGTGTTGATTTGTCCTGATGGTAAGACCGTAGAAGCTGAAGCCGCTCATGGTACCGTCACACGTCATTACCGTATGTACCAAAAGGGACAGGAAACATCTACCAATCCAATTGCGTCTATCTTTGCATGGACCCAGGGTCTTCTACATCGTGCCAAATTGGATAATAACCAGGCTCTTGCTTCATTCGCTAACAAATTGGAAGAGGTATGCGTTGAGACCATCGAGTCGGGTTTCATGACCAAGGATTTAGCCATTTGTATCAAGGGTATGAGCGGTGTTAAGCGCACCGATTACATGGAAACCTTCGAGTTTATGGATAAACTAGCAGAGAATTTGAAGAAGAAATTATCGGCGTGACTGAATAGCCGTTTATAACGCAAACATATTTTTGCATGGTTTTATTACACACATTTGTTTTTAATTGTGGTGAAGGATGATAACTCCTTGTTCTTTTGATAATAAAATTATAATAAAACAACTTGTTTTGGTGCAGTAACAGTGATAGCAGATAACCCTAAACAAATGATTACGAAATTACGAAAATTATCAGCAAAATAACAAGTTTTTTATGACGAGTTTAGTACATACACCCTTTCATTTGAATTAAATCTGTATTATTGGTTGCATAAGTTGAATGAGGAAAAGAGGGCGCTAGCAAGGCCGCACCACAGTTACAAACGTCATTAAACTCGCGTTCGCATCAATCTATTTTTAGCACAAACAAAAATAAATTACCCGGCAGATAACAACAATACCACGGTTATTAGTATTGCGACAACAAACGAGAACTGCGGTCTATTAACCGCAAGTTTACGACGCGATTACACACAACGGTGTGCGCGCACCACACAGATCTAATCGATATTTTTCCACGAATAGGTTATAAACACAAAGGACTATAAATAATTGTTAATTAAAGACGGTTAAAAAATGATACCACCTTTAGCTCCTGAACAAATCAACGAGCAACAAAACATGGTCGGCTGGGTAAGATTTTAAGCCACTAAAACTTTCTACTTTTCTTCTATCTTACTTCCAAAATATTTAATATTAAATTAAGCAATGTTGTCAACAGAAAAATACCTTTAATATGCGTCAAGCAAACCTTATGAGCCTGGCAGCTTCTCAACTTGGATCAAAAAACGGTTTAAGAAATGACCTAAAGAGTTACATGAAAAATGATGGAATGGCAGGGCCTGCAAAGAGCTTAGATATCTTAAGAAGAAATCTACAAAGTGCCATAAACAAAGATATTGATAATATTATTAAAAAATATTTAGATGTGAGTACATAATGATATTATTTTTAAAAATCAATACTAAGATGTTGCAATTTATGTTCCAGAAATTTTTTCAACCTGCAGTTAAAAATATTCGCGCCAATTTAGGCAAAGATAGTGTATCAGAAGATCACATCAAAGTAGTCTGTAGGCAAATGCTTGAAGATGCCAAAATAATGTACAGATCCTACTCAATCAGTAGGGATAGCTCACCATTTGAAGGTAGTGATTCTGAAGTCTCTTTTGACAACAGATTTGGTTTATCAAAGGTAAAAAATTTAACACTAAATCAAAAATATAATAAATTAATAATTAATTTGTTCATAGAATTCAAGAAAACGTAAAGAATCCGACACAGACTCCGAAACCGGTGCGAATTACAAACGTCAAAGATTTCGCAACACTTATTTATCAGAACATCACACTTTGAAGCAGATAAAACGCGAAGGCCCAAAATGGGGCTCCGATAGAATCACTCCTAACACGTTATTCATTATGGGATCACGCGCTAATAAAGCTTTGGGCTATGGTCAAACGCGCGGACGGCTTTATGTCAGACATCCGGAGTTGTTGCGCTATTCCGGTGATCAAGAAGACAAAGACTGGCTCACATCAAGGGGTCTCATGTCTCCCAGTGGCGGCAAAGCATACATTATGATTCTCGACGATATCAAAGAGTTATCACAACTTGACGAGTACAAAAACAATTCGAATCAACAACCGCATGAGTTGGTCGGGTTTGAAGCGCCTGGATTTCTTGTCAATAAAATTAAGAATTACATGGATCAAGCGCGTACTGATCGCAGGAACACTTCCTTTGATATGTTTGACTTTCACAGTCCGTCGATGACTCCACCGATTGATTCCGCGCCTAGTACGCCATCCGATACTATGCAGTTGATGGAGTCGCAGTCGTTGAGCACGAGCAGTTCGAAGCATTCGATGGACGGTGGGCAATTCCTGCACAATCCAGAGATTAGTCCCGGATCGAATAATTCCATGCTGGCGCCGAGTCCCCTGCCGGCGAATAGTAGCCTACTGTCTCCGAATATGCTGTTGAATATTAATTCTGATAACAACGGTGCAATTCTCGTGTTGCCGGAATCAACGCATAATGGCACTTCACTATCGTCACTCTTGGCTAGTGCTAGTGATAATAGTGAAGATTTTTAGTCAATTTAATTGTCATTTTGATGATGATCAATCTTTGTGTGTGATGTTTAATTTATTTTTCTTGCTGTGATTTTTAATTTTACCTAAAAATGTAAAATGTAAACATTTGATCTAAATAATGAGCTTATGCGGCTATTTTGCATTACATATAGCATTTTGGGATCAAAAAGAAATAGTTTTAGTGTAAAAAATACTAAAAATGTCTAAAATTAGGCTGTTTTGTTGAAATTAATATGCGTCGATAGATAAAAGCCAAAAATTACATATTAATACATAAAATATTTAATAATGAGATCAGTAGAATTGTACAAGTAGTAGGTTTGTGAAATTATCGCTTCCGTTACCTAAGAATCCTGTGAAAGTAGTAGTAGTTAACGAAAAACAAAGTAAGAAAAACGATATGTTATTAACTGTCGAAGTTTTGAAAAAAATGCGTTGGCTTGCTTGGCAAATATCGGTAAAACGCAGTAAGATATGAATGCGTCTTGCGAACCAGGAAGATGGCTCGGAAAGAGCGCAGTGTCGACGCCGCGCTGCGTCACCGGCGCGCCGCACTGACGGTGCACGGATTGCACCCAATCAGAGCGATTGTTTGTCGCGGCTGTCGGCACCGGGTCGGGCGCAGCCGCGGGCCGGCGCGCTCTCACCACGACGGCTCCGACGACGTTGGCCGAAGTGCGGCGAGCCGCCGTCCGTGCGCCTCTCCGCCGGTCGACCGTCAGTATCGTGTTGATAGCGTAGCTGAGCGAGCATCACCGGGAGCCCGCCAACCGATCCCGGTTCACTATTTACCTTTAGTTTTAGTCGTAGTTTGAGAGATCGATTAAACTGTTTGTTATGGAGTCGCAGAGCCAAGAGATTGTAGCTAGCGGATCGCCGGCTGAGGTGCCCAACGACCCCGGGTGAGTTGTAAACACACGCGCGCCGCCGCCGCCTCCCCCGGCACATCGAAAAACCGCACGCACGGCGCGCGAAATTATGGATTTAATTCGCGCCTACAGCCGCCCGCGTCGAGATGCGACCGAATTACGGATTACGATTGACGATCACCGGTCGCATCGCGGCGCATCCACGCGCTTTTCAACTTTTCCGCGAATTGCGGCAAATTATTGCGGAATTAATATGAAAAAATTATCAGCTGACCGGCTAAAGCGCAGCGCACATGTTGTACCCTCTCATCAACGGAACACATGTTTCACCCGGCGCGCCGCTTTTTAATTGTGCGCATTGCCAAAACAATTAAAGAGCGCGCGTGGAACGGGGTTGTCATGTGACGCATCACATGTCGCGCGTCGCTTGTTTGTTGATTTTGTAAGTTTCTAATGAATGTTTCTGTTTGATCCACAGGAAAATGTTTATCGGAGGCCTCAGTTGGCAAACTAGTCCAGGTATGAAAACAACTTTGATAATAATAATAATCGTGCGACTGCATAACGCATCTCGGGGCGTTCTTGCGCTACCGGCGCGCGCGTACCTGACGACTTTGTGTCGTTATGTAATTTAAGCTCGCGCTAATGAACCGCTTCCTGCTCCGCGCGCTTCTCGTACATCACTTCCAACGTGCGCTTCTCGACACATCGTAAACCATTTCGGTGGCGAGGCGGCGATTGTCGAAATGTGCGCGGTTTGTTGATTTTTCCGGTCACGTGGTGTTTCGCCGCTAGTCGCCCAGAGGGCGCTACCATGCCTATTGCGCTTCGATCCATCGGAATGCACTTGAAACTTTTACCTCACAAATGAATTGATTGATAACTCAAATAAAGATGTTTATACAATGTCTACGTACCACGAATGTAAGACGAAAGATCTTGAATTATTAACGAGTTTCAAGTGAAGGTATTAAATATTCTCACCGACATCTGAATTTTTAACTACGTATCATTCGATACCGTCCCCTTTGGGAGTCGGCTGCACTGTTCTGCCCTGTGGATTATTGTTGGTGTAATTAGAGACATGCAAAGAGCCGACAAACAACCAACAACTGGAAAGCACGATCATTCGGTGGTGCCCTCGGTCTGGGGACGTTGTTACCCATGTTATGTCAACTCGTGTTTTATAATAATGTAAGCACCGCATTGGTAGTTGCTTGTTTTTTATCGCCGCATCTTTATTTACACTTTTACACACAACTGCGGCTTGCACCATAAAATCAAAAATTGATATGGCAACCGTTGAACTTTTTGATCGTGGTGTTTACTTTTTGATTCGCGCAGCGTTCGAACACTGCATAAACATTAAAACGTAACGACTGCATGTTACAGCTTTTTCTGATTATTGACATAGGTTTGGTTAGGTTATTTTAGGTTAGGCAATTGGTAATGATGATTGAAATTGTTTTTGATAGTGCTTTTTGTATTGTTGTAGATGTAATGCTCTTCGTAGTCACGCGTTGCGCATCGTAGAGAATTAATCTTGGGTCGTGCATGCAATTCATGTTTTTACCTGCCGAAAAGTATCGCCGAAAGTCGGAGCAATGACATTTCCGGCTTGTTCACGCTCTATTCATGGCGTGTTTGATAGTTTCTGGATGACTACGACCACGAAAAGATGAGCGATGCGGCACGTTAATTACTGACCTCATTTTTTTCTTCTCCACTTGCATGCATCGAATTTAATTGCTTGCTTTGATGTGTCAGTGTGGAGTTTTGACTAATCAAGCATCAATTCAATAAAGCGAAACTTTTCGACCATTAAGAGTCGGTTTTTTATTTGTTTGGTTGCTTCGTTCGCGTCTTCTTGGTGCGGTGATGAGTACGTAGTTCGTGTTCATCATCGACGTCATTATGGAAGACATGGAATCATGGGGCTTAAGTAGCAAATCCATTTGTGACGCTTCTTCACCACCGCGGCAAGCGAGAGATGTTGATGATCACATCAAGCAGCTTTGGTTCGGTTGGTTCTTCACGAATCGTATTTGAATCCGTACCGCACCGAGATGGAAATCCCGCAAAGCGAGGCACAAAACGTAACGAACAACCGAACCGCGCCGAAAGTGAACTAGCAATGCGTGCTTCTCACGTTGGTCACGTTCCGGAATATATCGGTCATTCCACAAGTCACGGCCTGCAGATTCTCATCTCACCTCTTTCTTCCATTTTCTACGTTTCTTCACTTTGAAAGGAAACGCATTGCAATTGCTTTTGCCCATCGCGAAGATTTCGCAGATGAACAGATATTTGTTGGGTAAACTAATACCAATCAATTTTCGATTTGCATGAGAGCCGCATCTGGTTTCACTACCTGCGTTGGCGTTGGCGCATTTAATCCATCTCCGGGCCGTGCTATCATTCATTCCTACTTTTGCATGCGCGTGCAGTTCACTTCCTCGGCGTCATTGCCCTTGACTGGCAACCTGACCTAGCATATTATCCAAGCAATCTGACCCTCCGCATCTTCTTCGTCGCTGTAGTAGACGCCATCGTGCCTCGTGCTTTGTGCGCGCTCTCAAGCCTACTCGACGCTCTAACGCACATGTGACTTGCAAGTCCGTCTTGTGTTTCTTTCGAGCTTTGTTGCAATGCATATCATTGCTTAATGTTGCATACATTTCATGTGGATCTCTAATATTTTCTTCTTGTATGTATTTTAGAAAATGAGTTAACTCATCAGTGAAATATTCTGGCTCAATATCTTTTTCATACTTAGACAATAATCGCTCTACACAATTATTAGTCTCAACACGGCTTAATTTTAAATCAAAGAAAATTTTAAAATCGTTAAGAACATTGATATAGACATCGCCCCTTCGAGTAATTTCTGATGTTAATACATCACATACAATCTAAAAAATGTTGATAATAAAAAAATTTGTTTTTCATTTTTTTTCATTGATAATTGAGTCTTAGGGCTAAAACAGCGTCAGCTCTTGCGGACCATCGTGTATCAATTATTCTCTTGATACTTTTAGAATTCTTATCCTTCATGCATTCAGTTAAAATATTCCACCGTCTTGTAGATGCAGCAAAGAAAGTTATATATTTTGCAAAAACATAAAATACTGTAATGCTCCAGAACAAGATTCCGCTGCAACCGAGCGACCAGAAAGCAATTATCGTCTCTTAAGATGCAATTATTTTCGTCTGCGACTTCATGCTGCACTCTGTTTGAACCACAGACAGAGTGCAGCTGATGTGGGACCCTTGTTGTTGCGTTATTACACATACGGCGCCATTATTCTAAGTATGAATGCCTTGGCTTTCTTCTAATGCGTCAGTTGTGCCTCTCCTGATGTCTGTTCGTTTTGCATAATGGACCTAACCTAGACCATGAACATTTGCACTTTGCAGGTCAAATAATATGGAATATAGAATCGAAATTATTTATTGCTTGGATCTTGGATAAAATTCCAAGCGCGATGCAAAGAGAACTTAAGGGAATTGGGAATCTCGACGCAGGGAAACAAACAGAAACATATGTTGCGTTTGGGGGACCTTGGGTTTTTGAGGACGTGGCATAACTTAACACGGGGTGTTTCATGTCTTCTCGCTTTCTCCAGTTGCAGTACACAGTGACAAATGTATAATTTTAACGTTGAAATTGAAAAATCGCTTTTTGATGGATTCCAACGCAAAGTATCGGATTTCTTGGTTCTTTTGGTTGGGAAGAAGCGTAGAATCAATTAGGGTTCTTCTGTAAACACATGTTTGGTTGATGATTTGACCAAACACACAAAGCCATCGATTGACACACATTTACGTTGACTTAAAGAAGTTGTTTTCATTTTATTGCTTCGTTTTGTTGGTATTTAAGTACAGGTACACGAATGTAACACCTTCCAGGTTTGGCCGGCCGCTGGACGTTATAATTCTTTGGGTTGTGTTTTCTTTTCACACTTGGGTGTTGATTTATTTCGAATTGAGCAGAGCAGAGGCATGTCGATGGTAAAACGCTCGATTCTAGGACGATTCGAGCGGCTTTCGTATTTCACGTCCGAATGAATGTGTGAATGCGCGTGTGGTCGAGCCGTGCGCCGCCCTTACGTTGGGCAGCACACACCACCACCGAGGGCGAAAAATCAATAGTCCTTCCTGCCGGAGAGCACGTGTGCGTCTCGCGCTAGCGTGGGTGTGTTGGCGGCGGCGGCGTGCTCGCGCCCGACTTCGGCCACCGCCGGCGGGCTTGGTACGTGTTTCTTGCGACGTGTTCCGGCGGCTGGGACGTTTATGCCACCGACCGCCTCTCGTCACAACACCAACGATGCACCACGCAAAGCAAAAAGACACCGAATTCACATCTACACAATTCACACACAAATATAACTTGCACTTTGTTTATGTATGATTCAAGTGTGTGTG